GCTTGAGTGCTCGCATACCAAATTCACTTAGTGGCCTTTTCGGGTAGTGGGCTATTATACATTTTCGTTCAATGACTAAATTCCAAATATTTGATAATAGAATAGGCGCATATCGATCTACATATATAATCGAAATACAAAAATTATATAAGATTTTTTTTTCAATGAATTTTTTTTTACCTCTTTTTTAAGTGTGTTCTGAAATGTGATGCTGAAATTATTGCTAAAAATTTTCCATCACTTTTTTACACAACTAATTTAAATTTGTCCGCCTTAATTATAGCACAATTAATATATTTCACTCTTAAGTAATTTCCATTTCATCTGTTTGACATTTTTTAATTAACCACAATATTTTTGAAATTAAAATTTTCATTTCTCAAGAATCGTTATCACAGTTGGCAGCTGCATAACATCAACAGTCAAATGCATATTTGTCGAATGTCTCTATTGCCATGAAATAAGCAAATAGTGATTAACGATACATCGACGGCGTAAATTATTAATCAAAAACTTCAATTAACCTAACAAAATTGGCGCAATTTTACGAGCGGAAAATAAATAAAATCAGCTGGTAACATTATTGTAAATCTAACACTTTGGTACAGTTTTGAGAACATAGCTTAGTATAGAAAATAAATTGGAATATGTTACTTAACCCTGCCATGTGCAAGAGTGTGAGCCAAATTTTGAGAATTTTATGTTATTTAATATAAACTAATACCCACGGCTTTGGATTAACAACAGAAACATAGACTGTTTGCCAACCCCCGAGTAGGCAACAAACAATTACCGTGCAAAAATCTGAGTTATCAAAGGAAAGCAAAAATTTTATCTGGACATTAGTTCCAGCAAACCAAATATATCGGTTTTAGGCCCACCTATCGCTCCCACTTAGTCCAATTTTTACATACTCTGTCCAACATTTCGGCTGGTATCTCACGAATGTCCTCCGATGCGTCAATTGAAGCGGGCTTGTCTGTATAGACATCAGATTTAACATAGCCTCACAAAAAATAGTCTAAAGGCGTTAAATGGCACGATCTAGGCGGCCAATTGACCGATCCTGAACGTGAAATAAAATGTTCAACGAACTCGCCACTCAATAAGTCCATTGTTACGCCTGCTGTGTGGTATGTGGCACCTGCTTGTTGAACCCTATAAACCGCGAAACGTACGTCGGCTGTTTAAACCAGTGTTGCCAAAAAGATAATGGCTAAAATATCACCCTCTTGTATATGTTTAATTTATTTATTTTTTACTTTTTTTTGCTACATTTATTTTCAAATTTGCATATTTGCTAACAAAATTTGCCTGTCTGCTCTCAGAGTAATTAATTAAATGTTGTGTATTTAATAAACAACTTCAGTTCATGCAGGGTTAACACCATTACAAATGTGTCACAATTTTCAACATTAATGCCTCGTAGAATCAAGAATCATGTGGCGTTCGAACACCTCCTTAAAATTCAACACACAATGACCTATTCATGCACAGTTAAACCCAAAATTACCGTATACATATGTACATTCTCTCAGTCTCTTATAACAACTCAATTAATGGAACAACATATTGCGACAAGAAAAGTATGTATGTTGCAGTGTCACACATTTAATTGCATAGCAATAAAGCACTGACGCAGCAAGTGTTTTTCATTTCACGCACTCAAAATACTTCGTTCATTCATTGTGAGAAATCGAATCGAATTGGTAAAACGACTCCATGAATGAAATGAATGGGTGATAAAAAATAGAATAAAAAGGAAACAGCGTATACCGTTATTTGTATAAGAAACAACGAAAAAGGTTTAATACTAACTAAAATTTTATGCTCTTTTGAAAAATTTGTAGCCATTTCAAGGCCGTTATTTGAATGATAAGTGAGAGTGAAAAAAAAGAGAATAAAACAAATACAGTTATATATGAAAAAAAGCGATATGTGTGGGCATATGAACGCTAATACGTGTATGTGCATGTGTAGTTTTATGTTTAATGAAAATGCCAATATCAAGTGTGCAGCAGAATAAAAAATAAAAAAATGAAAAATTAAATTTAAAAAACGGAATTTTAATTAATTAATTAAAATAAACATAAATTCAAAATATTGCAACTTGCAAGTCATGGTGGGTATGTAGCTTTTGTTGTATATGATAATACACTTATATTTACATAGAACGGGTCTTTCTATAGGTTCCGATACAAAGAAATTAATTATATCCAATTTACTACTGTGCGCAAAAAGTAAGGTGAATTTATTTATATAATCAAAAATCTTTATTCATTCTTCAACATCGATTTCGTCGCCTCTAAAAGAGTCTCCTGCCGAGGCAATGCACTTAATCCAAATCTTTGTCCAATTATCGAAGCATGTCAAATAGTCACTTTCTGGTATGACCTGCAGAGAGAACGCGCCGATTCACGTTTAAACTCCTCAATCGACTCGGTATCCCCGAAGTGGTCTCTGGAGTTTTTGGACGAGCCAGAAGTCACATGGTGCTAAGTCCGGCGAGCACGTGGTGGGTTAACGATACTCGTGCAATTTTTAACGAATGATAAATGAGTGCCGTCGAACAGACGGTGCATTATCGTGATGAAAACACCACGAACGCGTTTTTGGACGTTTAGTAAACACAAGCGTAACTAAAATCCCAATGATGACATTGACAAGAAATTTGGCGTAGATATCAATAGCAGTGCTGCCAACATTCAGAAAAAAATTAACCCGAAATGTTAAGCGCGCGAAGTTCAAACAAAGAATTCACCTCAATTTTTGCTCACAGTAGTAATTTAATTCCGCCAATGCTACCAATTAAAAGTACAAATTGCAACACCCTTTATTACTTCAATAAATAAGTGGACTGCACGAAAGTCTATTTTTACTAAAAAAAAATATTAATAATAAATATTAATGTATTAACTAAAATTGATTTTTAATAACACTACTAGGGTGTAAATTGCTGACAACAACAATAAAAAGCATATATGCAAATATTTTCACATATGGAGATACATAAACTCGTATCGGTCTGGTCTCTCGTGCATACAAATAATAAAAAAAAGACTAATGAACCTTTATTCAATGTCATCGTTCCAACAGTATTAGCAAATTTTTTTGTTAAGAAAACTAATTGGTTTTTTAATTCAATAAACATAATTAAATTTATGCCAATTACACATGTATGTATTTGTATAAATAATTGAATACTATAAATTAAAAATAATTCAAATATTTTCAAGTGACGAGAAATTAATTAAAAATAAACTTACTTACTTACTCACTTATTTACGTAGACACCGCTTACGCGATTATAGCCGATTTACAACAATGCACAATTCGTTTCTGCTTTTTGTTATCTATCGCCAATTGGAAATACCAAGTCTCTACCTGGTCTTTCCAACGGAGTAGAGGTCTTCCTTTTCCTCTGCTTCCACCGGCGACTACTGCATGGAAAACTTTCAAAGCTGGAGTATTCGCATCCATACGGATTACATGACCTCAACTATATAATGTCGCCGTATAACTTGTACAGCTCATTGTTCCATCGCCGTTGCTTACGCAAAACCTTTCTCTCGAAAACTCCTAACGCCGTCACTTACTCACACTAAAGTAGCATCTGCTGGCAATATTTTTTCTGACTTGGATTTAAAGGCTGGGATTGTGGTTTGTTTTAATTCTACTATCTACAAGCTCATAGCTATGACTGCAAACAGTTACGTGGGTGCCGAGCAGCGAGTGTGCTGACTGTTTGCTTCATGACTTGAGATATTTCGCCTCATCCTCGTTCACTATGCGTTTCAATTGCTTCATTTCTTTGCGTTACTGTACCCTCCTATAAAAAATTGTACCTTGTGTATTTAGGTGGGCAGCTATTATTATTGCCTCCAGCATTGCATGATGAAGAGTCACCGAAAGTTGAATGCATTGGGAGTACCAATTTCAGACATAGGAAAATGTAGTCAACTTCTTTTCTTACTCCTAAAAGCAGCTCTGAAATCGATGAAAATGTGGTGCATGACGATGGTTTTCTTTTATGTCATTTCCAATATTTGCCGTATTGTGAACATCTTGTTGTTGATGGTGGTCTTCCATTTTTCACACTATATGCTTGGTAATACCGAATATGGGTTATTGAAATGGCTTATTCCACCATAGTTGGCACAAACTATGGTAACCGCCGAAGTGTGATATGCTACCTCACTCCTGTGATGGAAAAGCTCTGCTGTTGAGCCATCGGTTAAAACGTACAGATGTCTTACTAAATCCTCTCATTGCGAAGTGAAGTTTTAGCTCTAGAGTTGGCATTGTTGTAGAAGCTAATACGAAAGTACATCGATATATATGAGCAAACTTGTAGTAGAGCCCCGACCCAGCAGACCCTGGGAAAAGATCTGTGGAAGGTATTTCTGACGATACGCTAAAGTTCCGTAAGGAGACGAGAAAAATCTTATTTTGCTGATCGTAAGACCTTATAGGTGAGCTCTTACTGTAAAAGTCTTCATGCTTTTTTGGGCATATAGACATAAACTTCTCCAATGTGTTTATGGAAGCTATGCCAAGGCGAAAAGACTCATCCCTATGAAGCAGGCTATCAACAAGCGCTTTTCCGTCCAGCTTTTACGCAGTCTAAATCTAGGTTTTTATTCTCAATATTTCAGGCTTTTATTCCAGTTCACATCATGACCATGATAGTAGGTCTCCTTTCGCTTTCAAAATTTCCACTTCTTCACAAATCACCAAGCTTTATGGACTCGGCCCAGATTCCGTAGAATTTTCCTGTGATACAAGAAACAGCCTTTCCTAAGATTCTATGACTTCGAACTCTTTCACTGGGAAAGTCTGACGAATGATCCGATCTGAAACCTGACACTCATTTACAAAATTTAAGACGTGTCTTCATAGATCGACTCTTATGCTGCCTGTAAGAAAAAAGAGGGAGTTTCCTCCCCCCCATCCAATAAAATAGTCGTTTTTATTCATTGTCGCATTTATTCTTGATTTTATTTTATATAATGGGAAAAAATGTATTAAACTCAAGTCCAACAACAAATGAAATTTCTAACAACAAAATTTTTGTTTATAGTAAATTAATTAGAATACGAAAACTTTCTTCATTGCTGCAACACAACGGTGACACTTAAGACTCTTTGTACCTCAAAAACTAGAAACGTAGTTTAACCTAGAGTTTAGAGAAAAATTAATAAGTAATTAACTTAATTCATACGATTATTGGCAGTAGTAGCGGTGGGGGGTGTGGGTTTAGAATGAACACTTTAGTAAACAAATAAATGATTTTTAGCTGGCAAAATGGTTACGTTCGGAGTGTAACCCTCTTAATTATGTGTAATCATGAGCCGGGAACGGCGACGGAATGGATTCTGCACAAGCTCACGGTATAAAGTGAAGATTGGCACCCATTTGGGGAAACGAGGACGAAATGTGGAATGATAGCAGCCGGAGCAGGATTGTGGTGGTGGAATTTCAATTTCGGACTCGGTTTGAACGTCTGTTGTTTGTGTAAATTTCACGTTTCGTTTGTTAGCAATTGTTGTTGTTTCATTTTGGACATTAACTGCGGTATGTCTGGATGTGTTAGCCAAAGCAGGTTTAACGTCACAGGCAACTGAACTGCATGAAAGCGCATTCAACGGTCTATGCCAAGCATGCAAGGGCCGCCACATTTGCTCGAACAAACGCTCAAAATGCCACTCAATACGACGATGTAAGCGCAAGCGTCGTGTGGGGCAATCGCGTGCTCGGCAAGTGGGTGTCCAACAATGGCGGGACGGTGCCTTAGCGGCGAACACAAATTGACGATTAAACGTGAGATCATAGAAATTTTTACCTGTCATCACTTGCAAGAATTCTACAAATAAAAAACATGAATGTTTATGCATATATTAATGGTTTCATGTACAAGTTGTTGGTAAATAAAATTGAATGGCGGCGCTTACCATCGAAGTCAACGGTACCCGAACCGTCCGCATCAATTTCCTCGATGATCATGTCCAAATCGCTGGCCGATAGCTTATCATCCAATTCACGTAGAATGTCACGAAGTACCTGTACTGTGAGATAACCCTTGCCCTCCTTATCGTAAACGCGAAACGCTTCCTTCAATTCACTAACCAAGGCGGGCGCATCGTCTTCGACTTCAACGAAGCGCGCAGCTAATTTGCAGAATTGTGAAAAATCTAATTTGCCCGAATTTGCTTTGTCTACCTCCTTAATTAAGGCTTTTATGGCTTTATCATCCAGCTTTTGGCCGAGTATTTCGACAATGGTCTGCACATCCTTGTATTCGATATATCCACGCTCATCGTGATCGAACGCCTTGAAGGCATTGCGCATGACTAAAAAGATGAAAAGAAAATTAATAAAAAAAACATCACTTCCATGCCGTTAAACCGCGAACAGTTTTTGAATTGCACATACTTCTCAGCTGCTCCTTATCGTATTCAGCCTCAGTCTGTAAAATAGGAGTAGAAAAAGAGAGCGATATGAAAAAGAGATTAAAGTAAATTATTTTTTATTTTATGATACGCAAACATGCTATTTATTGACATGATAATTTATTTAACTGATAACCCGGCAGAGTTTTAATCAAGAAAAGTTATTAACAATTAATCCTATCTGATCCAATTAAATGCTCGCGGTGATTTACAGTTATATTTTTGGTTAAGGATCACGGTCAGGATTTAAAAAAATTCTGCGTCCGCGATGGCGTGCTGCCATTCGATAGGCCAGGGCTCGAATCCTGTTTCGATCAGCATCCAAAAATTATAGAAAATTAATTTTTCTAATTGTGGTCGTCCCTCAGCAGGGAACGTCAGGCCCAGTGATTGTATTTCTGACATGAAATTAAGGCTTTCATGAAAAAAAGAAACATGGAAAACCTGCTGGTACTTTTACCAAATTAATAAATAATATATATATAATTTGAACTAAGCGTATACAACGCAGCTATAAAAATCACGACATCAAAAGCCTTCTTGGCTATATTTTAACGTCACGGTAGGCAAAGAATACACCTTCAGTCCAATAGTCGGAAATTGCAGACTTCACGACAAGACATTCCTTAATGAACCGAGGTTTCTCGACTTCGCCACGTCCCGAAATATGGTTATCTGTAATAGAAAATATCGCCATAACAAAGTTCGTCAAGCCACATGCTTTTCCCTAGATTGCAAAACTCCAGATCGATTAAGTTGTGTTAGAAAGAAAACACATCTCCAGCGCCATAGATGTGCATACACTCCAGATTCTTAAGATTGTCTAGTTCCAGCCAGATACCGATCCGCCTCTGTGCAGCTAAGAACGTGAATCAATAAACGGAAGGAATATTGGATGTCATAACAGGTAGACAGACAGATTGAATTAAGCATTTGTGGGACAAAATTTCAAGCTGTCTTTGCACAGCCGCAATTAAAGCTATTGGTTTTCGACAAGGTTAAAGAAGTGGTAGTACATTGCGTATTGTCTCGCTCGCTATGCATAACATAAAGCAAGCCATGCCCAAAAGTTAAACCTCCTTAACGAGAAGCAGACAAATGGAAGCTGTAATGCGTGAGTATAGAGAGCCGTAGTTATACTCGGTGGACGCAGTAGCCGAGTAAATTGGAGGAGGAGCTCGGCCAAAAAATCGCTTCAACGGTTACAGAGCGCCAAAGCGCCCACCAATGGCTTAGGTGAGGTCGGGGCCTCTGTAAACAGACAACCAAATACAAAATAATAATTATTTAAATTTTTCTACTAATCTAAGTTAGAATTTTTTGAGCTTTGAATTCGCCCTTTTAAGTTTTTAAAAGCAACTATGCTTTCAAGTCTTTTTCACCATTTCGCCATTTACACAACAACTGTATGAGTTTTGCTCACGCGCTTGTCACAGGAATTTCCGAGAGCTTTTTCTCTCGCACTTTATGCCCTTTAGCAGAGAAAACCGCTGAGACGGTTTTCGGCCGACCTCCTTCTCCAATTTGTGGTGTGCATGTTGTTCTCTTTCCAACAAATATGTCAGAAATACATTCGGAGGGGTTGACATTCCCTACCATCGGGTGACTGCAAGTAAAAAAAATTAATTTTCTATAATTTTGGATGTTGGTCGAACTACGACTCGAACTCTAGCCTTCAATTGCGGTATGCAGTGCTCGCCTATTGCTCCCAACGCATAAAAAAATTAAAAATCTGATCTACTTGTAAGGGAAGGCCATCAAAAATAGACAAGAGTGAATGTGGCTAATAAATGTTGGATTTTCATACATGCATGTCGAAGATGAAGAGAACCGAACTTCGTATCTTCATTTCCGTGTAGTGTAGTATTTCAGATTCTTTATTCTACACTTTGAATTCCCTTTTCCTTTCAACACATTTTATGGGCCTAACAATTTTGCAATAAAATCACATACACTCAAGCGGAGCTACATTGAAAAGTGGTATATTTTACAAATTATGTAAATACTTTTTCCATTTTGTTTATTTGTTAATTAGTAGACTACAAAATTTGTCAGCTCGTTAAATTACGCGTGTTTTATTTATTATTATTTATCCATACATGCATACAAACGTATGTATATGTTCACATATGCTTCAAAGCTTATAAACATCCAAAGGCATATTTGTTTATTTGTATTATTGAATAGTGTTTATATGCGATGCTCTCTCTCTCTCTCTCTTCGTCTCCGGCTGCAGCCGAGTAAAGTGACCCAATTGGCGTTCAAAATTTATGACAAGATACCTGCGTACAAATGTGGCATTTTGCTTCTTGCAACGCCATTTTTTTTTCTCATTCGTGGCGGCAACACTTACAAGTGTACCCATAATATATACATGCATACATATATACAACGAATTGCATACTAAGAGAAGGCATAAAGGTAATTTTTAATGTTGTTCTTAAGCAAAGAAGAAGCGATTTCAAAGATTCTAACATCCAAACATACATACATACATATTTACAATTATTCTTACATATAAAGGAAGTTCAGAAGAAATATTTCTGAAAAAAAAAAATTGCTATTACTCTTGTGTATTCCGGCGGCCGCAAAAGCGGAGTGTTTGACATTACGAACTGTCCTTCTGAAGGCATCTCAAAACTATAGGAATTAAAGTTTCCGAATTGCGGTCGCCCCTCGGCAAGGAATATCAAGCCCTCCGAGTGTATTTAAGACTATATTTAAGAATGAAATAAAAGCTCCTTATTGTGATCCATTAGAAGTTCGGCGGCGGCTTAGCATAAACTTTAGATCGTCTATTTGTTGCATACCACAAATTAGAGAAAGAGCTCGGCCGAAAATCGCTTCAGCAGTGACAAAGCTAATTATACATGGGAGCCACATGGATTAACAAGAGAACCCTACTTTGACCGAGTTTCCTATTGCGAATAGCTAACGAATTAAAACAAAATAAACCGCAACCTCAAACGAAAAATTTTGTGGACGAGGGCAGTGAGCCGACGCAGAAGCTAGGATTGACCGCCAGGAAGGTTCTTTTGCGTGTTTGGTGATATTGGAAACGAATCACCCCCTATGAGCTACCCACCTATGGCAAAACTCTTAGTGCGGACCTGTACTGTGATCAACCGGACCATTTGAAGGAGGAAATTATCCAAAAGCGCTCAGTAATGGCCAACTGGAGGGGAATTGTTTTTTATTAGGACAACGCCAGACAATATACATTGATAGTGACTCCCAAGTTGCTCCGAGAACTACGTTGGTAGATTCTTATGCATCCACTACAGAAAACAGACCTCGCACCATATGTTCACCATCTATTCCTGTCAAAGACGAATGATTTGTTTGGTGAACCAGGAACCTATGTAAATCGATTGTCCCACTTCTTTGACAATAAGGACAAGGATTCCTTAAAATCGTAAAAAGTTTTCGAGGACATTGGTCTCGATTTGACATTAAAATAATGGTTTCTTTTTTCTAGACTAGAACTGGAAACCATTTGCTTAATTTTATTGTTGCATGCCCTATTATAAGATGGCATTAAGTTTTCTTTCTTTAAAATTTTCTGATTGCGGTCGCCCCTCGGTAAGGAATGCCTAGATCTCCGACTTAAGACATGAAATAAAAGCTCCTCATAGAAATCCAACCCTCTCCATGTGTTAGAAAAACATCAAAACGCAGAAACACAGATTGGTGGAGGAGCTCGGCTTTAGCAGTTACAAAGCGACAATTATATACACATCCATGCTCTTCAAGGACCTATATGATACCATAAGACAGAAAAAACGGAGAGAAAATGCCGCAGTACTTTCATATTAAAAATACACATGCTCAAGAATGGACGGAAATGTGCCGCAAATTTGTCGCTTCAATAAATGAAGATAATATAATCGTGGGTAACATATCTTAACTCGCAAAAGATGCAAACGTTGATAGCCAAGCGGCATTTAAAGCAATAATCTCTCAACGAATTACGTCAGAAAATGTTCCTTGAAGCAGCAGATAAGGTGGAAGGAAGCAGGAAAGTAGCTGCAGATAAACTGGGCTACAGATCGTACGGGCATATTGGAAAACGAAACATTTGATGATTTCCAAAAGTGGCCGACTGTAGTGGGAGAAAAATCAGAGCAAAATGGCATGCTTTGACAGCATGCAAGGCCTTCAATTTCATGTACAGTAGTTTATACGGTTTCTAAAGGAAAGCAATACAGTTGTAGACTCGATTCTCAGGCGAGACGAATGATTGTTGTTGTTGTTGTTGTTGTTTTTGTAACCGCAAAAATATTCCCCAAAGTACTTTTTGTGGAATGTTTCGGGGGTGACAGTCCTTGGCTGGATGGAAATCCGTATCGTTCAGGTATAAAGACCCGACTGTCACAGGAACTATTGGATTGTAGTCGCCTCTTACGACAAGCATGCCTTACCGCGGGTAAATTCTTGTACCCCAACCCGCAAACGAATGAACATTAGTGCAGTGATACATTCACGGAGTGTATAGAAGGAGGTATAAGAAATACAGTTGAACACCCCCTCTGCTTCTGTTCGGGCTTCTGTGGAACTCATATTATACACCAAGCAGCTTTGCAGTTTAAATAACTAGAGAAAGTGTCCAAGTTGGACAACAAGGCTCTCTTTATAAAAAGTGTTAACAACCTACACGTTGAATTAAATCCAACTTCATTTTGGCAGTACAAAGGTCCAAGATGCCCATGCAAGGCCTTACAGCCAGCCAGCCTTAACCGAACCTAGTTAACCAATTTGGGTTTGACGTTTAGAAGTGGATAATCTGAAAAACTCTTATCGGAGTGTTAATTAGTGCGTACTGCGGCTGGAATGGCGATGGTTCAAGCCCTGGTCCGGCTAATATTCAAAAAATATTGAAAATTGGTTTTTCTAATTTCGACGCACACCACAAACTTGAGGAGACTAAGCCAAAAATCATTTCAGCGGTTTCAAAGCGCCAATTATATATTATTTTTTATTTATTCTAATTATTATTTTAATTTTTTTCCTTAAAAATAAAGTAATTGGTCGACGATTACGACGAGTTTATGTGGTTCCGTAGATATTATAACATTTTTTGATTTCGAAAATATTTAAAAAAGTGACCAAAACGTAGCCGAAAAATTTTTGAAAATTATTTATTGCAGTTTTGTAATTATAGGTTTGAGAAGAAATATTTATGCCTCCATACAACCAAAAAGTTTTCATTTTGCTATTGCTTTCTATGCACACCTTACATATTCAAGGACGTCAATTACAATATTTTTATATTTGACATTCTCCTAGTTATATATGTATGTACACACATATTTTAAATTTCGACTTACCATTTTTCCAAGTTATATATATTTGCTTGTAAATGAGAATTAAGTCAAATATTTATATGAGTTGATTATCCTTTAGAGTTCACTTAAAAAGAAAAATAATGAAGAAAACAGTGGTTGAAGATTTGATTAAAAAAAAATTATTTAAAAAATTAAACACAGCACGAAATACAAATTGATTAAGTAATGTTACGCATTTAATGATTATACAATATATATATTTAGAAATTTTTTTGAAATCGTTTGTTTTTGTTTTTTTTTTTCTAAGCGAAATCTATACGCCAATGAACTTAATCATTTCATCTGTCAATTTTCCAGAAAAACACCAAAATTTGTCGCCTTTTAATCACACCCGAAAAGGTTTTTATTTCTATTTTTTCAAATATGTAATACCCGTTTTCCTGCGTACGGCTATCGATTGACGTGTTCACGCTACCGAATTTCGATAATCACTCAAGAGTTGTGATTTGCATCAATTAAAAAATTACCTTTCGATCAGATCGAATTAAAGGCACTTTTATTGGCGAATGCGCGCCGTCGCCGACTAAACAACTAAACGACGACAACAACGATGCCAACAAAGGAGACAACATAGGGCAAATACTACACATCTACACGTATGCAAATGTGTATGTGTCTGCAGTTGGACAGACATAATGTTGGCGATGATGAGCGGCGTGCAACAACAGCGACACATTTTCTATATAGAGATTTGGCTAATATGTTTGTATGCATTACATATATTGTAGGTATGTACATGCATACATACATAATTGCTGGCAACATTCAACAAGCGCATCACATCGAAATGGATTAGCTCGAATTGAATTGAATTGGATTGGCTTTGAATTGGATTCGATGCGACTGGGCGGCGGAAGCGATCGGAGGCAGCCAGACATAAAGAGTGTGGTACAAACAAACATACATATATATAGATTTCGGTATATAATGCATATATTTAGCTATAAGCATTTATATAGCTATGTAATTGTATAAGTGTATTATGTATTATGTATGTGTGTACCTCGCCGACGGGTAGTCAGACAATTTGTTTTTGTTAATTTTTTTATATTTTTTTCCAATTTCATTCTAATTGCGTTGGGAATTTAGATTCACAACAGCACTTGTAATGTAACAAACAACAACAACAACAACAACAACATCAACATACAACAGCATCAGCAACATATCCCAAGTGGCAGTTGGAGCATACTCAAAGGAAAGAGTGTGGTAATGTTGTTGTCGTTGTTGCTTTGCTGTTGCGTTGTTCATTTGTATTCATGTTTTTTATTTTTTATTTTATTGATGAAGTACTTTGAAACACCTTGTTTTTAGAAAAACAAAAAAAAAATTTTTTCGCTAGCCTATTTATTTGTCACATTCTCCACCCAAGGCACGTATATACGCGTACATATGTATATGCAGTTGGTGTTGCTGCAACATGTTGCGCCTATTTTCACAGACAAACGAATGCACATTTATGTGAATATAAAATGATTTTCTAATTTTCTTAAATTAAGTGAATTTTAAAATAGTTGATTAAATTCTGTGATTTTTTATTTTTGTTTATTTTTTTGTTTATTTTTTTCTGTATTTTATTTAGTATTTGCTATTATACGCATTCTACATGTGTTGCTCTTTTTTAGCTTTTTTAAATTAATTTTCGGTTTGTTTTGGTTTTAAGCGAAATAAAAACATTTCTAGTTGGATTGATGAGATTAATAAGCGTGAGTGTTTGTTTAGCTGATTTTTTACTGCGTTCCTTTAATTTGTATTGTTTTTTTTGCATTTTTTCTTTGCTGTTTTGGCTTTAATTTAATTGAATAAATTTTCAAATTACTCATCGTTCAATATTGCCGCCATTGATTATTGAAATTTAATTACGCTCTTTGTTTGTTGTCAATCAGTTAGGGAAAACCCTAAAATGTGTTACCATTTCGCCTAATTTGGTTACTTGTTCAGCGCCAATCGTTTATTTCCGGCAACTACTTAAAGTTTTTGTTTTATTTTTGTTTTTGGGGAAATTTCATTCAAAATTTTTGTGTTTAAATCTTTTTAATTACATTTTCCACATTGAACTTGCCCAACGATAACTCGTTGATGCGGAATAATTCTATGCGCTGCAGGTGAGTCAAGGTTATTTTTAGAAAATCTACATATTTTCAGCAATATTGGAGGAATTTCCGCATTTTTATTCATTAATTTTTGTTGCATTATGTAAATAAGTAATTATGCTTATAGTTAAAAGTTTAATTAAAAATAAATATTTTTTATTTGAGAAAAAAACCCCAGTAAAGAAATATAAATATTTTAAATATAAGAGTTCGTGGGGAGTCTAATTTTAAGAGATTATTAAGCCAAGTAGAAGGTCATCCATTGAACGACGCAAGATGGTGATAGAAAGAAATTGTTTTGTACAAAAAAAGGTAACCCAATAGTGTTTGAGCTGGGCGCAAGTCAGTGATGGACACCAGCAAAGAGAAATTACGCTTTATTGTACAATTTTTTTTTTTGATTGAAGACGTATGACAGGCAGCAGCAAATGTGAGAGGTGATACTGTTGCAGTCAATCATGGTTTCGTCGACTTCGTGCCTATAATTTTGATGTGAAAGTTGCTGAACAATGGCAAACGTCTGATGTCGAAAATGTCGATAAAATCATGGAAATCCTAAAGTCTGATTATCATACAAAACCGCTGGTCAGTGAGCCAAACATTGCACAAAAAAAAGAGTTTGAAACCACTTGAAAAATGCTGGAAACACAAAGATTCCCCATGTCATATCAGTTAAAGAGAAAAACTAAAGGGACGGTTGATGAACCGTGGATCACTTACAACAATGTCAAATGAAAAGCGGTCATGGTGTTGCTGCAGAGAGACAGCAGGAACGGTCTTAAATTCGGATTTGATGCTCAGGAAGGTTTTATTGTATGTTTGGTAGAATCAGCTGGGCTTCATCATATTGTATAATAGCTACACACTCGGACCAGTACTGGTAGTAATTGGACCGTTTGAAGGAAGCAACCGCTCAGAAGCACCCAACTTTACTCAACAGGAGGGGAATTGTGTTTTAGTGTTTGCTTGAGTTTAGAACTAATTATGAATATGAAGACGAAGGTAATTACAAAAATAAGGAAAATCAAGAAAGGGGAGCCTCCTTCGACCGAAATAGTTATACCTTTCATGTACATTTAAAATTTAGGGTATAGTATTTTAGGATGAAATTTAAATTCTCGTATCAAAATCAGTTATAGGAAGGCTTTAATCATATGTAATTTAATATTCGAAGATTATTTCATACGAATGTTGACGGTGACCTCAAATGGTCCATTCGCTTAGTTCGCTTCAATGTTGTCCTCTAATGCATCAATTGAAGCGGGCTTGTCTGTATAAACATTAGATTTAACATAGCCCCTCAAAAAATAGCGTAAAGGCGTTAAATCGCACGATCTAGGCGGCCAATCGACCGGTCCCGAACTTAAAATAAAATGTTCATCGAACTCGTTTCTTAATAAGTCAACTGTTAGGCGTGCTGTATGGCAAGTGGAACCGTCCATTTGAAACCACATGTCAGGCAAGTCTAGCTCAAGAAGAAGTACGGTCCAATGATGCCACCAGCCCATAAACCGCACCAAATTGTGACTTTTTCTATTTTTTCTGGATGCATTGATAGCCCTTGCAATGCTTCTGGCTGATCTTCACTCCAAAATCTTAAATTCTGGTTATTCACGCACCTATTAAGCCAAAAATGAGCTTCATCGCTGAACACAACTTTTTTTTTAAGTTTATTAACAGAGCAGGCATTTTGACATTAAAATTCAATAATTTTCAGCCGTTGTTCCTTTGTAAGACGATTCATGGTTAAATTATATACCAAACTGAAGATGTTTGACAGCGATACCAAATACGAAATGTGTACCTGTTTAACCAGTGTGGCTGTTTAAACCAGTGCAGCTAAAAAATCGGCCTTTATATATAGGTATACATATATAAATTGTTGTATGAAAGCCAAAATTTTTTGACCTGCTATTGAAGAACACAACTTGGATAATCAGCGGGTTCAACAAGTTGGTGCCACGATACACAATAGGGCTTTGATGCGGGAGAAATTCTATGGCCGCGTAAGCTCTAATATTAATGATGTCGATTGTCTGCCAAGATCGTCCGATTTGACACCGTTTTTTTTTGTGAGGTTGCGGGAAAAAAGGTATGCGAATAAGCCTCTAACTCTTTAGTATTTGAAACCTCCCAAAATTTGTCAAGTTTGCTAAAACTCGCGAGGAGGCCATTTGAATGCTGTAGTGCTCCACATAAAAAAATAAGGTTCAAACATTACAATGAAAAAGGAATTTCCTGAACAAATTTTAAATGTATTTTTTACGTTTGCTTTCGGAGCCACAAAATGGATAACCCTGTAGTTTTTGTTCCGGTTCTTGATGATAAGCTACCAGTAGCAAATTACTATCGTTTGACTGAATTCAAAAAATAAATAAAAAATAATAAGCAACAACAATTGCCAACCCGATATCGGCGACTCTACGAATTTAAAGTCCTAATCTCGAGTGCTAATTTGATAACAAAAAATGCTTGATAAGCATAAACCGAAAAGTATAAAAGGCGAAGAGTTTTTGCGCGAAGGCGTCACTTAATATCTGCAATACCTTAAACAGTGACTTGAACAAATTTTGTTATATCGAATTTGAGCAATGAAAATTTTAGTGCGTGTGTGTGTGCTCTTCGCCTTGCTGGCTGTCGCCTACTCAGCCAGTTCAAGTTGGGGTACACCGAACGGCTACGACGATTATATCTTCCTCAAGAAACAAATTTCCTATCCACCCGTACGAAATGTTGCACAAACGTTTTTCTTCAGCATACCAGAGTCGGTGGGTTGACGAGTGCGAATCATTAATTTTTTTAATTAATAAAAACAAAATGCATCAACTGATTTTAAATAATTTTCCCGCTTGCAGTATCAAAGCAATGATAGAGTCATTACCGCTATCTTATTGGAGGATGGTTTTCGAAACAATTCGGGTCCAACGAATTATTTGCTTGCCGGTGGCCCTGGCTGGACGTATGCCAACGTGCAAATGAGGACTCAAACCGGTTTTGGCTTAAATGTTACTTACACTGTTTATGGCAAATATGTTAAATAAATAATTGATATCAAATTTAAAAAAAAAAAACAAAAACAAAAAAAAAATTATGTGATTGAAAATAAAGTAAAATTAAAACAGTTCTTTCCACTTTTCGCTCATCTTCTTTTGTGGGCCACATTTTTTCCGGCACGGCTTATTGGTAACGCCAAGTGATCGGCGGCAATTTGTCATGCTGCTTGCCCAAAATTAATACTCATAAAAATATTTATGATGTTGCCACGCCAGTTAGGCCGAAGACTACCTCAAATTTAACACAATCAGCAGTGGCGGGGTGTCAGGAGAGGCACACGGTGCGGATGGTGCTTTGCCTGCAACAAGCACAACCGAATGACAACTTTGCACTCGCGCGTCACTGAATTATGGCCAGAGGAAATATTTTCAGCACTAAAAGCGGGCAAATGGATCACATTTGTGTGCTTATGTATGTGTGTGAGTATACCTTTGCGAGTGTGTGTGTGTGTGTTTTTGTATGTATGTATGTATCTATGCACTTTGGTATTTGCAGCTAATAAACCTGAAAGCTTGTAAATCATCACCGTAAGGCACATCGGCAGAAAAATGTCGCTTCTTCTCTTTATCCGCACGCGCGTGGGTGTGTGTGTATGTGTTAGCGTAGGCATGTAGGTGTTAGCAACATATTGCATCAGCATTGTATGTGAAACTATTGCAACAATTCATAAAATTGTGTGAGAATTTTCATACGAGTAGCTTGATTACTTTAGAGAAGAGTTCATATTTCATAACTTCACAGCAGCTGTCATGCAAAGTCTGTATGTCCCGCTTTACTTGAATAATTAATTTGGTATTCTTCTTCTTCTCTACTGTCGTAGACACCGCTTACGCGATTATAGCCGAATTCATAACATTGCGCCATTCATTTCTATTTCGATTTTGCTGTTTGGCGCCATATGAAGATACCAAGTTGAACGAAGTCGAAAACTTTCAAAACTGGAGTGCTTTCATCCATTCGGACCACATGACCTAGCCAGCGTAGCCGCTGCTTCTTGATTCGTTGAACTATGTCAATGCCGCCGTATATCTCTTACAGCTCACCGTTCCATCTGCTAGGCTATTCGCCGTTGACAATGTGCAAAGGGCCATAAATCTTATGCAAAACCTTTCTCTCGAAAACTCCTCACGCCGTCTCATAAGATGTTGCCAAGATCCATGACTTGGAACCAGGACGGGAACGATAAGCGACTTGTACAGTTTGGTTTTCGTTCATTGAGCGAGGATTTCACTTCTTAATTGCCTACTCAGTACATAATGTTGGCATTGTTGTTGGTCTTAATACTGGCTTCAAGATAGACGAAATTATCTACGACCTGGAATATCTTCTGTCAACAGTCTCATGGGAACCGAGTCGTGAATGCGATGGTTGATGTTATGAGATACTTCGTTTTTTCCTCGTTCATCACCAGACCTACATCCTTCGCTTCCTTTTTCAGTCTGGAGAAAGCTGAACTCACGGCGCTGTTGTGGGGTATAATACTGTCTTGTTATTTTCTCCAGCAATAAGTTAAAAAAGTGACACGATAAGGAATCATTCTGTCTGAGATCCCGTTTGGTATGGAACGGCTCGGAGAGGTCCATCCCGATTCCGACAGAACTTTTAGTGTTGCTTAAGGTCAGCTTATAAAGCCGTATAAGTTTTGCGGTGTGGCTTTAAAATCGACAAAGAGGTGTTGTGTGTCGATTCTCTTTTCACTGGTCTTTTCCAAGCGAATTAAAAATACTGAAATGTTGAAGTTATACAGAAGCCTTGTCGTTTATTAGAATGTCAGGTTAAAGTTTTTGCTGGACAACATGAACCCACCTATTTTTCTATAGTTTCTCAAAATGATTCATATTGAAGAATTCTCTTATTACTCAGGTTTCTATAGGACTTTTAGGTCTACCTTTATAAGGTATGAGATGGTGTTTTTTTAAGTTCGACTTTTAAGAGGCGTCTGGAGGAGCAGGACAATTTTGTACTTAATAGTGGAAAATCGAAGCTGATTTAGTTTTGGAAGACTTTCTCAATGTCTTATTTTCTTTACTATTCCCTTTAAGCCTACTAATTCTTCTAACATGATCGAGTATATTTCCCTCCCGACGACCTTTATTCGGTGCTGATTCCTCGTTAGATGGATTGCATCACCTAAGACGTTGTGGAATTATGAGTCAGGAGTATAAAAGTCTAATAATAAATATTTTCAGAAACTAACCGAAATAATCTTTCAATTTGAATCCGTACTCGTTTATATAGGTTGTCAAATATCCGCTTTTTTGCTCTTCATTCAATGCTTTATAAAAAGTGTTACAGTGATCGGATTTAGTTTAAATATGCGCCGTTTTGTTCGATGATCTGTTTACATTCAGACGGCAACTCTATAATACCTTACTCGTAGAAGCCCTCTCCTTATTTGCGAAGAATTCGGACAGCCACTTTTCACAAGCCTCTTTTGAGTTCAACTTCACACCACCAAGGGCATTCGCCATGGACAGGAACAGGTGGTAATCACTTGGCGCTACGTCCGGGCTATATGGTGGATGCGATAAAACCTCCCATCCGAGCTCCCGTAGCTTCTGACGAGTCATCAACGAAGTGTGTGGTCTGGCGTTGTCCTGGTGGAACACTACACCCTTCCTGTTGGCCAATTCTGGACGCTTCTGGTCGATCGCCTGCTTCAAGCGGTCCAGTTGTTCGCAGTAGATGGTAGAATTAAGCGTCTGGCCATATGGGAGCAGCTCATAGTGGATGATTCCCTTCCAATCCCACCAAACACACAGCAAAACCTTCCTGGCCGTCAATCCCGGCTTGGCCACTGTTTGGGACGATTCACCGGCCTTCGACCACGACCGTTTTCGCTTGATATTGTCGTATGTGATCCATTTTTCGTCGCCAGTCACCATCCGCTTCAAGAATGGGTCGAGTTCGTTCCGTTTCAGCAGCATATCGCAGGCGTTGATTCGGTCCAGAAGGTTTTTTTGCGTCAAATTATGCGGCACCCAAACATCAAACTTTTTTTTGTATCCAGCCTTCTGCAGATGGTTCAAAATGGTTTGGTGACTAACTCCCATCTCCTGGGCGATGTCACGAGATGCCATATGCCGGTCTAACTCGATGTATTCCATGATTTGATCGGTATTTGTCGTCACAGGTCTTCCGCCGGCTGGCTTATCCATGGTGTCGTTTTCACCGGCTCTGAATCGTCGAAACCATTCCTCCGCGGTTCGAAGTGATAGAGTACCATCCCCCAAAACACCATTAATCTCACAGAACGTTTCTATAGCGGATTTGCCTTTCACGAAGGAAAACTTTAAAATAGCGCGAATTTCGGCGTTAATGAACTCCATGTTTACACGTCTATAACTGTTGAACGCAATATCCAAACTAATCATGGATAGCGTTGTTTTGTAGGTTATGTCAAGACCTCTCAAATTATGTAAAGTGTTGCCAGATACGAGCTCTATAGCGCTTTGTACATAGCCGCAAAATTCAAAAGACAAAAAAGCGGAAGGGAGATATTTGACAGCCTAATATTTTTACTTAGTATTTATAACAAAATCGTTTTATAGCTTTCATTTCATAGCTCGCTACAGCCGTTTTTGAGATGAAATACAAAAGAAGCTTGCGAATATTATCGTGGTCATCTAACAGGAGACCCAGCCGAATGCTATTTGTAGTGGTTCGTAGCGTAGATTGAGAGGTGTTAAGGTCTGGTAATCAGGCAACTTACATTCTTTTTAATGTTTCTTTTAGCAAAGTTTATTTGGAGTTAATAAAATGAAATATTAAAAAAAAATCCAGTTGTAAAATAGAAAGTCAGCTATAAAAAAGGAATTTCATTGTGAGGAGACCGAATTTATATCACTCGAGCAAGCACAAGTACTTTCAATAAAATTGCAACTGCTTGGATTTCAACGAAGCTGTTAAGAAAGAAACAATATTGAGAAAGGTGTTAATAAAATCTTTATGACTGTTTAGGGCTGTATATGAAGTGTCACCTCCAGCTGCTCTGCACAATTTTGCTGAACAAAATTAAAATGCTTCTGCTTCTTGCTGTGCTTCTGAGCCTGTTCTGCTTCAACCTGGAGTCTGTTGGGGTGAACACTCCGGTAGGCACCGGTCAGATGCTGCTTACAGAGCATTACCTACGATGGTGTTCAGCCTTGCTATGTAAATGAGATGTAAAGATAACAGCAAAAGGTGTACTTTAACGGCATTCACAGTGGTGTTATAACAAGTCTGCAAAATCGCTAAACTCCAACGTACAAATAGGTATTTCGTAGCTAGTGAACGTGTGCTAGATTGCTTCGTTTGTTACTAACAATGTTTCTGCTCCGGTTGCTGCCAGATTTTCTGTAATAGCGAATGGTTGGTTGACTGGTTGTAAGTGGAAGTTGAGGAGCACAAACGGTCGCTCCAAGGCCCTTGAGCAGGGGCCAATGAAATGCCTGCGTATCCTCACTTTGCGTTTCAGAGCCCTTGGTTATACGCTTTTTTAGTTGCTTCCAACCATGCGTTCCTACCTTTGAGCTGGCAACATTGTGAAAGAAGTGACGAATTTATTGGTTAAAGGCCGGACTCTCACAGAGTTAATGTTTTAGAGTTTCATCATCTTTTACGCCTGCTCTGCACTCAATCTATTCCACTCTACCTAGTTTGTGGAGAGAAGTCTTAATGGGCAATATTAATACATTCAAAATAATTCTAAGCTCTCTTTTGATTAAGGCAAGTAACAATTTGGTGTGTCTGCAGCTATGCTGTGTGACTTAGAAAATTCAACTTTACTGGTGAGCTTTCATTATCATTCGAAAGAAGATTCCTCAGCATTTATTTTTGAAGATTGTCTCTATAAAATGTTGGCCACGGCTACGTCTCAGATGGTCCATCCGTCGAGTACAATAATCGATGACTCGTTAAAGTATATCGGCTGGTAACAGCCGATTGACTTGCGTGATGTTTTGCTCCAAGGCTTGAATTGAAGCGGGATTGTTCGCATAGACTTTAGACATCCTTAAGACATTGCATATCCTCACAAGAAAAAGTCTAACGTTCTTTGTGGCCAATCGACCGGCCCCAAACTTGAAATTATCTGTTGACCGAAGTGTTCTTTCAATAAATCCATTGATCGATGCGATGTGCTGGAAGTAGCGCCGTATTTTTGATACTAAATGTTGCCGAGATCACGAGCTTCAATTTCAGGCATCAAATAATTGGATATCATAGAAAAATAACGGTCGCTACGTACATACCGGCATCATTTTTGAAGAGAATCGACTATTACATCCACCCACAAACCACTCTAAAGCGTTATTTTTTCAGGATGAAATGGCAGCTCTTTTATCTCTTTACGTTGCTCTTCGCCCCAAATGCGGCAAATTTGCTTGTTTACATACCCATTGCAGGCCGTTGCGGTAGCCGAGTGTTAGCATTGCGTTGTGCCATTCAGAAGGCTCGGGTCCAAATCCTGGTGTCGTACTAGCAATTCAAAAAGTCATACAAAATTAATTTAAATAATAAATTAAGCTAATTTTCTAATTGTGGTCCTCCTTTGGCAGGGAATTTCCACCCATTCGAGTATATTTCTGACATGAAAAACAAAAGCTCCTCATAAAAAAACAGCAGTTCGGAGGCGGCTTAGTATAAACTGTAGGTCCCTCGATTTGTTGAAATTAGAGGAGGAGCTTAAGTGAAAATCGCTTCAGCGTTCACAAAGCACTATTTATATATATATTCATACCCACTGAGCTCGAAAATCTCGGATTTTCTCAGAGGAATATCTCGCCCCGTCCAAACAACCGATGGGTTAACTGTTCATTGCGCAATGCTGCAGAAAGCGAGTATTGGGAAAAATTGATTCAGTATTCTAAGTCTGAGGCCTTGTGCTGGAAACCACAAGCGCCTCAACCCATACAAAATGGCAGAAGCCGACATCGGCGACTGTAAGGTATAATTTGATTATTTTTTTAGTTTTTTTTTTTTTTCAAATTCGAGTTTTGAAATAAAACAACTTAGTGCATCGGCACTAAAATTTTTGTTCTTCATCTTCCAGATCTTGTTTTAGAAACGCATTTATTTATTTGATTTGTTAGATTTTAGTTTTCAGCCATTTTATTTGGCGCATGAAAAAGTTAAAAAATAAACTTTTTTACTTCAAATTCCCAAAACATCAAGTGAATACATATTGTACAAATAATTTAAATGATTGTTATTGTTAATTCTTTGGTTTTTGCGCTGTACTAATTTTAGTTTTAGTTTTCATTGTTTTTTTTTTTCTTATTTACTTTTAACTTATTTATTTAATTGTTATTTTTCTTTTATTGTTGCTGTTGACATTCATGGTTCATTGGTGTTGTATGTTTTTAATTTAGTGATTTTTAAGCTTTATTATTATTTTTTGTTATAATAGATAGAAACATTTGTTGTTCTTTTGTTGTTGTTAATCGAGGTAATTGAATGTGTTTATAACGACTTTTTTAACTTTAATTGTATGTTATGTTGTTTATTTTACATCTAAGCTTTTTTGTTTTAATTTTCTTCTATTTTATTTTGATTTCTTTGTTGTTTTTTTTTGCTACAATCGATTCTAACTCAAGTATGTTGTTGTTGTTTGTTTTCCTCGTTGAGTGACGTGTAATTGATGTAACTTAAGTTGCTATAAAAAACTATTATAGGAAACCTTTGTATCAATAACGGCATATCCTTGCGATGTACATATATGTTTTAAACTTATTTAAGTATTATTTTGCATTTATATGTATATATATATATATATGTATGTAATTCCTTTATGTGGATTTGTATAAACAATACATCTTATATTGTATATGATGATTCAATAATAAGATTAAATAAGAAAAAGTTTTCATGTAATAAACTGTGACAAACATTTGAATAATAAATAATTGATTTGATAAATATAATTTCTTTTCTAAGTAACAACAATTTATATAACGCAACATTAACTTGTTTACAATGAAATATTTTACATTTCACACTTTGTTCGGTGAAATTTTTATAATAATTAAATAGAATATTCTCTCTTGTCTCGATCAATAAAAATCATTGTATGCAAATAATGTTCATCAATTGTAATAAATTGTAATATATATGCAAGTAGTGGTTAATTTGATATATATGTATATATATATATATATAAATATATTTTTAAATAAATTTTTTAACAATAAATTAATAAAATTTTTAATCTCGGCATAATTTTTTTAATTAAATTGATTACAATCCATTATTCTGACTGTTTAGTCATTGGTTAATTGCTTTTTGAATATATTTGTAGTAAAATATTTATAAATGAAAAAACCATAATATTTTTGTTTTTGTTTATAATATAGTATGTGTGTTACTTTTATTCATGTTTGTTACATAAATATGTGACTACAGGGTATTTCTAAATGTCACAAGCCATTGATGGTGTATTTTTCATAAATTGGTTTGATAGTTGGTTGGTTGGGTTTGAAAACATTAATTGTATTTTTTTTCTTTAACAATAACTAACTTCTTAAGCAAAAACAATATATAAATATGTTGTATATTTAATGAACAAAATAACACAAAACTAGTTTAAGTTTAACGGTTGCTTTTCTTTTGTTGATTTAAATACATTTTAAACTTGTCATTGGCTTTTTGAAAAAGTTTTAATAAAATTCAATAAATAAATAACAAAAATTATATTTTTCCATTACAACGGTGACCTCGTTGACGAGTGAGTGTGGGTTTGTGTGTGTGTGTGTGTGTTGGTGGGAGTATGTTGTTCCATTGTTGCTGTTGTTGTTTTTCAAAAAAATACCACATATTCCGTAGGTAAAGACTTTGTTGAGGTTTCCATAGTTTTCAACATTTACTCGCCAGTCATGACCTCCATGAATTCTGTGAAAAAAAAAATAATATATAAGTTTATTTTAGAGTTAAAATTGATTTTTATAAACCGGAAAATATAATAGAATTTTTTAAGCTTCAATACCTCTTTGATTTATCATAATTACAAAAAAACTAAACGTCTTATTATATGTTTTCCCTTACTCACTCTCACTGCCATTCTCACTTTCACTCTCTCTCAATCTCACTCTCACTTCAATTCTAACTCTCATTCTCACTCTCACTCTCTCTCACTCTCACTTCAATTCTAACTCTCATTCTCACTCTCCTTCTCACTCTCTCTCACTCTCACTCCAATTCTAACTCTCATTCTCACTTGCACTCAAGCTCTTACTTTTATTTTCACCCCCATTCTAACTCTCCCTCGCACTCCCTCTTTCTTTCACCGTCCCTTTCCCTCTTACTTCTTTCTTATCTTCCTCGCTCCCTCTTGCACTCCCTCCCACTCTCACTACTTATGTCTCTTTCACACTATACTACACTTTTACGCTGTTTCGCTTTTCTGGCCCTACCATTGAACTTACCATCGAAATCAACCGTTCCTGAGCCATCAGAATCGATTTCCTCAATCATCATGTCCAAATCGTCATTTGTCAGTTTATCATCCAATTCACGTAGAATTTCACGCAGCACACCGGTGGTGATATAACCATTACCCTCTTTATCGTATAAACGGAATGCCTCTTTTAGTTCGGCTTGCATCGCTTCCGCATCCTCTTCAACGAGGAAACGCGCCGCCAATGTGGTGAATTCTTCGAACTCAATTTGTCCCGAACCATCCTCATCGACTTCGGCGATAATTTCAGCTAACATAGCATCGTCAAGCTGATGACCCAACATACTCAGAATGGTACCCACCATGGTGGTGTTGATGTAGCCATTCTTTTCCGCATCGAATGCGTTGAAGGCATTTCGTAGTACTGGAGGGAAGATAGAAAATTTTTTAATTTAAAAAATTTGTCTTTGCTTATTGGAAATTCTAGTAATTCAACTTTACTGTTGTGTGGAAATTATGAAAAAAAGTGGATGTGATGTCTTACATGAGATCATTTCCGTCTCTAATTGGGAAATCAATAAATTTGGCAGCTTCATTCATAGTCACTTTCTAAAGCTCTTCTAAGCTCTTCGATCTACTTAATTCGGCCAAGGTTGCTTCCCGAACACTTTCTACTGGGTAGAAACGAAGCTTTCCCTTCCAGATTTGCATGAGACACATACCTACATACGTCTACTTTAGGGACTGGAGAAACAACCGTCTCTTTTAAGGGAATGAAGCTCGAACGAACGAATATTTCACCTGTATATGGCGCCGTGCCAGTTCGCTTACCTTTAATTACAATTTATACCGTTGGGACCCAAAACCGCAATGCTATGTTTACCCGTGAAAGTCGGTTAGGTACCTTTTTGTATGTGTTCCCAGGTTTGGACATTCAGTAATGCCCACTGTCTCTGGTTGTAATTAAAATTACCAAACCATAACCTTAATATTAGCTTCATGAAAGGAAATTTATGGCGGCCGCGGTAACCGAGTGGTTAGCATCGAGTTAAAATTTCTATTTGCGGTCGCACCTCGGCAGTAAATGTCAACCCCCCCAAGTGTATTTCTGACTAGTAATAAAAAGCCAACAGCCTTTCGGAGTGGGTTTAGTATAAACTGTAGGTCCCTCCATTTGTTGGGAAAACATCTACACGCAAAACCTTAAAAGAGAGAAGGCGCTCGGCCGAAAATCGCTTCAGTGGCTACAATATATTATATATATATAAAGGAAGTGTTTGCGATTTGTCTTTAACATGAAATTAAACCAGAAAACCGGGCAGCTATTGAAGGAAGAGTTAAGAGCGTAGACTCTGTTATTTGCGGAAAATGTAAAGTTGCAGAAGCCGGACCGAAAAAATCGCCTAAGCGACAAAAATGAGTTTTGGGTGTCCTTGAAGAGAAAAAACGAGTTCCGTCACAGGAAAAAAGCTACCTTCAACTTGCAACGTGAAGCTTGAAAAACTCGTATTTGTGAAATAGGAAATCATTAAGAGACTTCCGTGAACTTGGACGTTGCATCTTGTTGTCACATAAATCATTATAAATAAAAGAAGCAACTTGGCTGCCTTAAACTTTTACTAAGTGTCTTTTCATGTTGTATTAGCACCGACTTTTCTGCGAGAGCGTCAAAAATCACAAGTAACACAGTAAATTTGAAAGTTTCCACATTTGCTTATTTAATATCCATGAAAATAACTGGACACGCAACGTCGAAATAACACTAACTAAATGAATTGCCATTCTGTTGTTGTTGTTGGTTTGTTGTTTTAAGCAAAAAGTGACAATAAGTCGCAGAAATCGCTCGATATTTGAATGCAATAAAGTCAGCTGTTTTTCGCTGGAATTGCACAGCTTGAAAGCAATAATTTGCCCCATAGACACAAATGCTTTGCAATACAAAAGTACTTATTGCTTATATGTATGTATATGCTTCATTACATATTTACATATACATGCTTGCCTGCCTTTCATTATTGTGTTCCACCGCGTTATTGAGAGCGCACTTTCGGTTCGTTTAAGCTTTCATCATAAAAAAGAAACATATAAATTTTTTCTGTTAATCACGGCGTAGGCGTTTACTGACACATTTTGTGGTATGTGGCAAACGTCATGCGGTGCCTATGATCGACCACTTAGCCACATGTATGTACATGCATACAAACGTGCATGCAATTGTATTTCCCAACATTAAACATTTCCACCTTTTTCTTCTTGGTGCAGCCGAAGGCGGAAATATTAAGTATTGCATTCGTCGCGTGTGTTGGCAGTTTTGTCAGTCAATCCAAGATTATGCGCTACTTGTTTACCGTTATCTCAGCGCGCTGACAAAATAAAATTTTAGTCTAGCAAATCACAGTGGGCATTGGTGGCATGCACAGCGCGGGACTGGAGAATTTTATTGGTTTATTTCTCAATGCGCGTTGTGACTTTCGCAAAAACAAAATTAATTTCACTATTTTTAACAGGTGTTGATGATTTCAAATGGTGTTGTTAACACCCAAGCCAGTAAGTGTGTGTGTGTGTTTAATAGTGTTTTACTGCCTTTGATTTTAATCACTTTATACGTACATTCGATTTGGTCTTTGGAGAGTTCGTCCTGAAATTAAAAGATATTACAATTTCATTAGTCAAGTAATTTTTTCTATTTTTTTAAGGCAGAAATATAAGTAATTTTTTAAATACTCCAGGTGAAGGTAGATATTTTCAACGAGCACAATTAATTCTCTGGTTGCTTTATTTATGTTGTACTCGTTCAATCTCGCTGGTTTTGTTAAAAAATTAAAATATTCAAAATTCGTACTTAACTTATTGCAAATATCTCAAAAACTGATAATTTGGTTTGAGTCAGACTGATGAACAGATGGACAAACATACAAAGCGATATTTAAGCTAGATCAGGAATAGTGCCTTTTAAGTGTTTAGTAAAAGAAAGATTTAGTGTCAGGTTCTGAAAGTTTCGAGACATAATATTTATCAGGACACTCGCGCTGATTGATGATTGAAAAAAATTTTTTTTTAATGCCTTAACTGAGATTTAAATGCGATGCCCCAGTTGTAAGTTCAAGAACTTATAGAGTTTTAGATATTTTTTTTTTACCGCAGAACTTTTTACGTTTCATTTATCAATTTGTAATATTTCAAACTAATGATTTAGCAAGAAATGCTTTGTCCATCGATTTTTTCAAAATACATGAAATTCTTTCGAATATTCATTCTCTTAAGGCAGTAGTCTGCTTTAGAGACTTCAAAAAAAAAAAAAAGGTTTTTTCTTGAAGCTCTTTTAAAACTATTCAATAATATGTCTTCAAAATTTTAGTGCTCAACTCGACATATTTTAGAAGCTAGAGTAGTTTTAGTGGACGAGCCTGCTCGATATTTCAATGCTCGGACAGAACTTTATAGCGTGTTTTCACGATTTTTCATTTATACAAGTATTAAAAAACGGAGATAGCAAAAACATATATGTATGACCGTTCGAAAAAAATCAAGTGACTTAGTGCATTATAAAATTATCTGCCATTTAAATTAAAAAAGTTGCACAAAAGTATTCTTTTTAAAATTTTTTTTTTGCAACTTGAAGATATTTTTTTTAACAAATTAATTTTTTTTTATTTCGAATCTTGGAGTTTTCCACCTTCTTCGGTATTTTTTTTTATAGATGAAACGTTCATAGCAATAAAAAAAATAGCACGACCTCCAACTTCGGCGCCGTTTTACAAGTTTAGACTATAACCACTTCCGAAAACTCATCACAACATTGGAGAATTCCAATATTTTTTGATAAAAAAAAATTTTTTTGAAGCTTAAATATAATACGTTATTTTCCTAAAAATTAGTTTACCGCAATAGTTTTCTTGCCTTTCAAAAATAAATTGCTGAAAACGGCTTTTATGGGCTCTAAAGGAGTCTAGTTACTGACTATTTCCTTTGATTACCTCTGTATACGGCACTAAGAACACTTGCCAAGAGGTCAGACTGTAAATAGAGTTTATTTGTTGAGTAATTGCGGCGCTTGAGAAAGTAAATTTGATATAAAAAATACCAACGTTATAGAAAGGAAATTCATAGTGTTTGCACTAAGACAACGCATCATCTCACAAGACTTTTATTGTGAACGAATTTCCTACTGAAAGTACAACAAATCACATATGACATCGAGGAGCTACCGTCTACACCTCGTAAATCAACAGCCCACTTTTTCACATTCCAGAAGTTCACCACTTCGAGGCACCAGTTTTCTTTCGATATAAGAATTAAAAACAATTCGCGCAGGGCACTAAATGTGATTCAAAAAAATGCATTTAAAAAGTATTTTGATGAATAGTTTATTCATTCCTACTCTTATACGAGACAATACACTTGAATGAGCAATAAATTCTTTTGGTTTTTGTAACCTATTCACAGTATTTTTCTCCATCTCTTCTGTAGAAGCAATACTCAGAAGATACATGAATTAATCTCATCAAAATGGTTGGAGGCCGTCGAAAAGCAATAAGCCTTAAGCAGAAAAATCTATTGGTGCTTCCTAAAGAACGAGACGGTCCAAGCCTAGTTCTATAATATATTAATCTCACATTGCACGAGCATACAATTGTATGAGAATGTGAGAATATCTAGAGATCGGATTTCTTATCATGTCGATTATTAGATTATGCACAAATTGAGGTTTCATAACAATCTTCTCGGCTGTTTCCGGTTGTACGAATGTTTATTCTCAAGCAAAGTTGCCAGGATACACTCAAAAAGCCTCCGAATGGCTTAGATGGAATGAACTTAGCAAAACAAAAAAGTCTGTATCTTTTTTTAATGCAGGCGTGACTTCAAATTCGTTGTAAGTAGTCTGGATATTTTTTTGCTTTGCAGCTGCCTAAAATCGATCTCTTTTTATACTCAATACTTCCTATGATAAGTTTAAAAAATGTAGATTTTAATTCAATATTTATAATATTTACTGAGTGGCTACAATTGCCTGGTCCTTTTGCGAGCAACATAAAAAAATTACAGAAAAATCCTTTTTCAAATATCGCTCGGCCATAGACAGGGAATGTGATACCCTCCGAGTGTATTTCAGACATTTAAAAAAGCTCTACATACAAATTCATTGGTTGTTTGGAGGCGGCTTAGGAAAAAATGTGGAGTAAAGGTTAGCTAAACACACTCCATAAATTGAGGGAGAGTCTATAGATAACATATATATATATATATATCTAGTGATAAGAAGTTTGGATAACAGTATTTTCGCTCATCTTTCCTGAAAGGATAAAGGATGTTGTTTTAGACTCTCTTTTTACCCTTTATGGATTCTCTGTAGGACATTCATTAGGGATGACTACCACCATTACTACTGTATTTGGTATTCATAAAAGAGTGGCCACTATATCGCGCTAGAGGATACGTTTTTCGAAATTCTAATATATATATATATATATAAATTTGATTTTTTTGTAGAATTTGTACAGTAGTAAAATAATATTTTCAGCAGGTGGGGTAACAAATTTTCTGTACACACTTCCCAGAAATCAAAAAAAATAATAATAATAATAATAGCGCTTTGAGCACTTGGCCTTAAATCAGTATGCATTGAGTCGATCTCTGCTATAAGAAAACGGCTGAGGATATGCGGTGAGCTCCGAGATAATTGTCACATGTTGTACTGTGTTCTCTTTTTGTACAAATAATATTCAATTAAAGAAAACAAAAATACCCTTAGCTCTGTAATTTTCACATATGCAATTAGTGTGAGCATCTGCCTCAATTGTCAAGCTATTATTTTGTTTTATTTTGGCAGCAATCAAAATTTTATCAATTTTTACTAAAAATAACCATAACTAAGGGTTTATTCTAAAGAGGCGAATAAATTTTTTTATCTAGTTCTTCATCCTTAAGAGAAGTTCTTTTGATTCCTTCGAATTCCTAAATAGTGTAACTATTTTAATATCCACCCATTACCACACATTATCCTTTCAGGATACTCACACTCATGTTGCTGCCTTTGCGATAAAATCAAGAAACACACGTATACAATCAAAAATAAAGGACGATACCACTGAGACGATATAAGATGTGGCACACGACACGACACGACAAGACACACAACAACGACTACGATAACGGCAGCGGGAATTTAGCGTTAAGGACAATGCAATAAAATTTTTGTGATTGCAAATGCGTTTGCAATTTCGGTTGAACAATTGCAACTGTGGTGTGTAGCGCGGAGCGTGTTCGCGTTGGCAATGCGCGTACGTTTAGCAAAAGTGACGACGACGACGACGCGTTGATTATTGGCCGGCCGTTTTGCTTTTTTTCGTATGGGTGTTATTTGCGGCGCTTTCTTTGGAGCCAACTAAAATGCCCAAAGCAATTTAAATTTGCATTGCTGTTGTTGTGGAAGACGACATCAAGCGCCGGCGGCAGCAGAAAATTATGAAGTAGCAGTACATATATGTAGTATATGTATGTATGTAGTTGTAGTTGTAGTAGTAGTGCAATTTGCTGCCACCAACGCGCATACACCTGTACGCCCTAAAAAAGCTGCCTCCTGCCGTTACGTTTAAAGATGAAATACATAATAATAATAATAATTTGCGACTAATGACCGAATGGCCTCAGCACACCACGGTGTACGACCCAACACAGCAACAGCCCAGCCTAGCCCAGCGCCGCAAAGGCCAGGCTAAAGGCTGGTGGTTGGTGGCTGGTGGCTGGGCGCTGAAATGTGTGAAGACGACACCACGACCACAACGACGACGATAATGACTACGACTGAGCGGATGAAAACTCGGTAAATGCAACATTAGCGTAGTTGCAACAGCAGCCGCCGTCGCCACCACAGCACCACTTTTGTTGCTAGCGGAGGAAGATGGCAAGAGTGGCTGAGGCAGCATGTAGCTGTTTGCAAGAATGCCATGTCATATTCCCCTGTTGCTGGGCATCAGTGGTATATAATCTAAGCATAAGATGAGTGGCAGTCACACATTTTAGTGTGCCTATTAATGAAAACTTGCATATTCGTTGCACCCAGTGCCATATTGCTAGAGACTTTTATTAATTTGTAATTTAACGACAAGTTTTTCAAGAATTCCCAAAATGAAATATATAATCCTTGCTAACTCATATGAAAACACGACCAAACCCTGACTGTTTTATTATGAAATGAGAGCTAGGTAGACATGCTAGACCCCAAGAGCATACCATATGGACATATAAGACAGTGATCTCACGAAAAGTAAAAATATCTTGAACCCTGGATAATTTTTCTTTAAAGCAATCGCTCAGTGCACGCAAAAATTTTTATATAGTCCCAATGTCAATGGCTACCAATAACTTGGAGTTGGAAAACATATGCGATTCAAGAATTTTCTGCCTCTTGTGCTTGTGCTTTATCTGGTATTAATGGAGTTATCCGCGTGTGCAAGCTTATTAGCATTGCAGTTCCCAGCTTTTCCGCCTTGACTCGGTATTATGTGTTGAAATATTTAAAGTTAGACGAAGCCGCAGACAAGTAGATGTTATGAACTCGCTCACCATATTATTTCTTTTCTAGAAAATCTCCACCGTACGTTTATTAACTTTGTGCTTTTGGAAGATATTTTGACT